TCCTCAAAATAGAACTCGCCACTATCTTCATTTGCATGAAGGACAAGTCCTTACCCAAACAAGTCCTTGCTCCTGCGTTGAACCTAACGAACTTGAATGACGGTATATGAACGATGCTTCCTCTCTCAGAGATCCACCTCTCTGGTCTGAATTCCAAGCAATCTTTTCCCCATGCCTCTTCACTTCTTCCCATTGCATACAAAAATGACATTATCTTGGTACCAGGACCAACCTCATGCCCACTGGGAAGTACGTCGTGTTTTATTGCTTCATTGCGCTCAAAAGGTACGGGAGGGTACAATCTCAGAGCTTCGCACAAAGCACCATGGAGATATACTTGATATTGTTCTTCCTTTTCTTCTTTGATATCTTCAAGAATCTTAGCTTCTACTGAAGGGTGTTTACCAACAAACCAAAAGAACCAAGTGAGAGCTGAAGTTTTGGCATTTCTACCTGCAACAAAAAGATTAAAAGCCACGTCTCTCAGAAACTTGTCATTTGCATGTTCTTTTCCTTCTTCCTTCCTCATCATACATGTTAGCAAGCCATCATTTTCTTTAACTTTTTTCCTTGTCTTTGTTGATCTTTTCTCTCTTTGATGCTATGCTTTCATAGAGGAACCGGTCAAGCACTTCACATGCTCGGGCCATTTTCTTCTCTGGTCCAATTTTAAGCCATCTCTGAAGCTTCCAAATGCTTTTAGGCACTGTGTGTCTGTAGATTATAAGCTCCTCTACTTCGGTAAAAGCTCTCTCGCATGCAACTAGCGGGAAACCAATGGCAAGGCTTTCTGGGTCATATCCGAAGACATTGGAGCAAACAATGTCAAAGTTGAAGCGACTGAACGCATCTTGCAAATCTAATTCAATCCCTTTCCTTTCTACATGATCCAGAAGAGGAAAAAGACCTATTTCCACCTTCTTTCGAGCATTCTTCTCCAGAAGCATCCCAAAACTCTTGGTTTTAAGCAGCGAATGAAGGAGTGTCCTGTGGTATTTCCATGCATCTGAATCCGTAGTGAGAATCCCATCTCCAAAAGCTTCAAAATCCTCACGAAGCTCGGGCCGTTTAATGTAGTTGGCGAAATTCTTGCTCATCATGTGATGTACGTTCTTGGGATGTAAACCAAGATCCGAGGAAATTACCAGTACCTCCATTTCTTTGCAGAACTTGAGTTGCGTAGTCATGAATCTGCCACGAATTTATGAGAACTGGCGGCAACATCCCTCATAGAGGCCAATCTACTAAGAGGGGATTTGCAACATCGGCTTCGATGGAAATGAAAAGGGAGGAAGATAAATGCTGCAAAACCAGCAATTACTTGCACACAACCCAGCATTTCTGGTACGGACTCAAACGGAGGGCTTTGCTTCTAGGGAAAATTTCATTTAAGGACCACAGAAGAGAATTTATATCAGTCAACCCCCAAAACATTCTGAAATATCACTACAGGATCAAGGGACCAAACTGAAATTAAAACTAAAAGTAAGATTACAATAATACCCCTCACTTTTATTTTTTTAAAAATAAATATTAATGGACGTAACTGTTCCGGCCATTGAAGGTTGGAGGTTCGGCCATCGACGCTCAGGTAGCCTCCGTCAAAGGTTGGACCTCCGGTGGCCAGAATTTTTTTTTTTTTTTAAACAAGACGGCCAAGGGAAGGTTTGAACCCATGACCCCCTAGCACACCAAAAGTGATGTAGCCACTAAGCCAAACAAGCCATTCAATCATTTAATGCAAATAAAAATATATAAAACAAAACAAACGCAACTATCCAAGTATAAGTGAACAAGTGAAATTAGACGATTTACAAGTGAAATTCAGCAATTTACAACAAAAATTAGGCAATTTACAAATAATATAACAAAATTCACAACCCCAGATGTAAGTGTTTAAGTGCAAATGAGCAAGTGAAATTTAAAGATTTATAACAAAAGTTTATGGATTTATAACCCAAATTTGACTATCCACAAGAAATACAAGAGAATTCATAGCCCAAAATGTACGTATTTGAGTATAAGTGAACAAGTGAAATTTAGCAATTTACAACAAAAATTTGACAATTTACAAATAACATAATGGAATTCACAACCCTAAATGAGTGTTTAAGTGTAAATAAGCAAGTGAAATTTGAAGATTTACAACAAAAGTTTATGAATTTACAAGTGAAATTCGATGATTTACAAGTGAAATTTAGCAATTTATAACAAAAATTAGGCAATTTACAAATAACATAATGGAATTCACAACCCCAAATGCAAGTGTTTAGATGTAAATGAGCAAGTAAAATAAATTTCACTTGTAAATCCATAAACTTTTGTTGCAAATCTTCAAATTTCACTTGCTCATTTACATTTAAATACTTACATTTAGGGTTGTGAATTACATTATGTTATTTGTAAATTGTCAAATTTTTGTTGTAAATTACTGAATTTTACTTGTAAATTGTCGAATTTTACTTGTTCACTTTCACTTAAACACTTACATTTTGGGTTGTGAATTCTCGTGTTTGTCGTGAATAGCTAGATTTGGGATGTAAATTCATAAACTTTTGTTGTAAATCTTCAAATTTCACTTGCTCATTTGCACTTAAACACTTGCATCGAGGGTCGTGAATTTTATTATGTTATTTGTAAATTACCTAATTTTTATTGTAAATTGCTGAATTTCACTTGTAAATCCTCTAATTTCACTTGTTCACTTATACTTGGAGAGTTGCATTTGTTTTGTTATATATATTTTTATTTGCATCACATGATTGAATGGCTTGTTTGGTTTGGTAGTTATATCACTTTTGGTGTGCCAAAGGGTCATGGGTTCAAACTTTCCCTTGGCCACCTTGTTTTAAGAAAAAAAAATTTTGGCCACTGGAGCTACAGTAACAGCCACCGAAGGTCCAACCTCTGGCAGTGACCACCTGAGCGCCGGTGGTCGGAACAGTTACGTCCATTAATATTTATTTTTTTAAAAAAATAAAAGTGAGGGGTATTATTGTAATCTTACTCTTAGTTTTAATTTCAGTTTGGTCCCTTAGTCCTGTAATGATATTTCAGAATGTTTTGGGGGTTGACTGATATAAATTCTCTTCTGCGGTCCTTAAATGAAATTTTCCCTTGCTTCTATAGATATATGATGTGGCTATGCAAATATAAATAGACAGTAACTGCTAGAAGATTCCCGCTGTGCACTTGAATGGGGACCATCTCATAGTACACGCAATATGGGTAGGTGATCCATCTATTGTGGGGTGTGCTTGTGTTTGCTTCAAATTATCATACACAGTTTACAATCTGATACTAATCGTCCTCTTCATGAAAACTTCCTTTCCTTTAATTTCTCACCACTTATTATTGTGGCATACAAGTGTAATGGATCCAGGAGAAAGTTTCTTAAACGAAATTAATTCGCAACTTAATTGATGGGGTCAACAACTTAATTACATGTATACCATCAACTTAATTGATGGTATACATGTAATTGTTATATACATGTATCTTTTATTAGAGGTAATTTATTCAAGATACTGTTGGACACTAAACGTGAGTATACTTTCAACAAAGATTCCAATATTAGTTTGTCATGTTGTAAGGGATTTTTATAGTATTTTTTAAGAGGATGCTAAGAACATGAGTATCACTTGTAGGATTATGGTTTAATGGATCCACTACCAAAAAAAATTGATTTTCAACAACAACAAAAAATCGCCCCTGAAAATATAAAAGTCGTCGCTAAAAATTCGTTGCCGTAGTAACCGTGGCTGAAAGCTTTCAGCAGCGATAAAAAAAATTGCCACTAAAGGTGTCTCTCGGTGGTGACTTTTATAAGTTTCAGCAACAACGTTTTCATCCCTGCCAAAAAGTGCTTTTAGCGACAACTTTCAGTAGTGACTTTTTTTGTCACCTCCAAAAGTCGTCGTCTAAAGTTTTTTTTTTTAGTAGTGATCCTTCAACCTTGTCCAGATTTCACCCAAAAGAAAAGAGGAAATACATATGGAAGCAGTATTCAACACTGCCCAATCACGTTGAGGGTCAACAGGGATTTGGTGATTAATTTGCTTCCACTTGAATTGAAGAATTCTCAATTTTGGTGAATCTCAATTCTCAAGACAAAAATTCAAGTCCAATATGAAAAGTACTCTTTTTACAGAATCTGCATCCGATAAAATGCAGTAGGATATACTTTTCTGGTCCTATTTATAAGTCACTTCAAATATATTTCACATAGACTAAGAAAAACTTTAAACTTTATTAACTCTTATTTAAAATTCAACAAGTTTTCAACTTTATCCCTATTTAGTATATATTATATCTCATGTAAACAAAGTCAACACAATAATAAATGAAGGATAAAATTATACATCCATACAAAAAATTTATCTCAATACCATATAAATAGGACAAAAAAAATATATTCTCTCTTTGCCCTATAAATAGGACCAAAGGAGTACATGGGAACTAATTAAAGGCGTAAGGGGGTGCGGGTGTGTGTGGTCTAGATTTAGAGTTGAGGGAAGCCAATTCGGCCACGTGCTTTGAATGGTTTTCAGCCATTGAATGTTCATGACCGATCTAAGTGAACACGTTTAATTTGGAGCGATGCAACAGTCCGCAACTAAGAAGAATAACTTAGAGAATCAAGAGAAAGGGGGAAAAAACAAAGAAAAGAGAAAAGGAACCGAGAAAAATGGAAGTTCCAACACAAAATTGGCTGCTCTATTTCTTATATTCATTATACTTGCAATTCAACGTCAGTGCTAGGTTAGCCCCAACTGATAAAATTAAGTACCACTTAATTTTATAAGAGGAATTTGTTAGTAGTTAGACCAATCAGTCAATCATACTAGTTAGACGCTTTTGACCCATTCAGTCCCAAGATTAGCCAAATTAATTCTCTAGCTAATCTAACTATTCTCTGTATGTATATTCAAGCTATTGGTCGTCCAGATCAAGAAATTCCTCATCAAACTTTATAAGCACAGCAACTTTTTTGAGCTTTCTTTACACCAAGTTATGATACTTTTATTCATCCATGTAATATAATATATGCATAATACTTCCCCACCACCTCAAACTTATGCAATACATGCATATATAATAGTTTCCACAACTTCACACATACATCAGAGATAATTTAATTTATTCTTCCAACGAATCAAGAATCACTCTCTTTTTGTGACCCGAACTTTGAGACCATACTTCATTAGAAGCACTATTGAAAGTGTGGGAGAAATAGGATGCTCTTCCACTACTTGAATATGATAATTCTTTAAGATAGCAGTAGTCATAATCTTCATTTGAATGAAGGAGAGGTCCTTACCCAAGCAAGTTCTTGGTCCTGCGTTGAAACTAATGAACTTGTATGACGGCACATGAACGATACCTCCTCTCTCTGAGATCCATCTTTCTGGCTTGAATTCCAAGCAATCTTTTCCCCATATCTCTTCGGATCTTCCCATGGCATATAAAGATAACAGTATCGCAGTACGAGGATCAACCTCATGTCCGCTTGGAAGTATGTCGGCTTTGATTGCTTGCTTGCGCTCAAAAGGTATGGGAGGATACAGTCTCAGAGCTTCACAGAGAGCACCATGGAGATATACTTGACATTTTGCTTCCTTTTCTTCTTTGATCTCTTCCAGAATCTTCGCTTCTACTGAAGGGTGTCGAGAAACAAGCCAAAAGAACCATGCGAGAGCTGAAGTTAAGGTGTCTCTGCCTGCAACAAAAAGATTGAAAGCTGTGTCTCTCAGAAACTTGTCGTCCACGTGATCTTTTCCTTCTTCCTCCCTCATCAAACATGTTAGCAAGTCATCGTTTTCTTTCTCCTTTCCGTTGTTTTTGCTAAGCTCCTCCCTTTTCGATTTTATACTTTCATGGAGGAACCAGTCAAAAACTTCACAAGCTTTGGCCATCTTCTTCTCTGGTCCAATTTCTAGCCATCTCTGAAGCTTCCAGAAGCTTTGAGGCACCGTGTGTCTGTAGAATATAAACTCCTCTGCTTCATTAAAAGCTCTCTCAGATGCAATTTCTGGGAAGTCAAGGGCGAGGCATTTAGGATCGGATCCTAAGACCGTGGAGCAAATAGTGTCGAAGTTGAAGCGATTAAACACGTCTTGGAAATCAACTTCAATCCCTTCCCTTTCTACATGATCCAGAAGAGGAAGGAGACAACTCTCCACCTTGTTTCGAACGATCTTCTCTAGAAACTTTTCAAAGCTCTTGTTCTTAAACAATGAATGGAGAAGAGCCCTATGGTATTTCCACGTGTCTGAATCAACAGTGAAAATCCCATCTCCGAAAGCTTCAAAGATTTCACGAAACTCAGGCCCCTTTACGTAGTTGACGAAGTTCTTGCTCATCATGTGGTGGACATCCATGGGGTCACAGGTGATCAGGTAGTTCATTCCAGTAAACCAAGGTCCCATGAAGCTCCCAGTGCCAGCTTGTCTTTGGAGAGCCTGAGTTATATAATCATGAATCTGCCATAGATTAGTGAGAAGTGGCGGTAACATCCCCAACACGGGCCAATTTGTTAACAGAGGGTCTCTGCAACATCGTCTCTGATGATAATAAAAAAGGAACAAGATAAGTCCCACCAAAGCTGCCACTACTTGTGCACAAACAAGCATCATGGTCGTACTATGTACTGTTGGAGATGTGAATGATGAACTCAATCTCTTGTGATATGTTCACTTTATATGGCGAATAGGAAGTTCAAGTTGTGTTCCTAAGTCAATAAATTAGGTGCCTGATATAATTGCAGATTAGGTACCTTCACTTAACTCCCAAAGAAAGAAAACAAGGATAAGCAGCATGTGATGAGCACGATGTAACAAGAAAGAGACATGCATATATATATATATATATATATATATATTCTGCATCCAAGAAACTTTAATTTTAAAAAAGCCAATCACTTTGTAACCTAACAGCATATCGATCATTGTAGTTAACGCTAATTTAGTAGTGTGCTAGATTATTGTGGCTTTGATTTCGCATGCTAACTCTTGTAATCCGCAGAAAAAGAAAACCTCAAATAAAAATTTGGTGACTTTTATTGCAAGTGAGTTTGATTCATCAAAGATAAATAAATTAGAATCAGTATGGGGGCTATGGGCTAAAATCGATTAAACCTGAAGTTCAATTATTTGCTATTTCTGGAGAAGTTGCTTTCTTCTGTTCCTAGTCGAGCCAATAGAGTTGCAGACGAAGGGGATGGGCCCTCAAAGCTACTCTCACAACTCTCATCCAGTTGTCCTTAGAAAGGACAGGGTTTAATATTGGGAAAATGACATTAAGGTCTCACACAAGCAAATATATAGCAAAAAAGTCCCTTGAAATGTGATAATTCTTCTGAAGTCCTAAAGGGACTTGGCTGCCATTTTCAAAAAGTTAAAATGACTTCTTTGCCCTAGCATATCAGAGACAGGAGGCATTGAGGTGAGTTTCCCACATAGTGTGGCTCTGTTACGGCTGGGAGAGAGGACATAGAGAAAGAAGAAAGGAGCCATTGATAATGAAGCATCTTCCCCATTACAATTAGTAAAGTCCAAAGAGGTTCTATTTGAATCTTCACAAATCTTCAAGTCTGGAAATTTCTTTCCTCTCCTCTCCAGGAATATTTTTCTTAACAAATTGATTGTGTTTGGGAATGAGAAATCAGAAAATCATTTTTGCCTTTGGTACTGTAAAGCTTTTGTTTTTGGTCTAAGATGAACAAGTAAATCAATGGAAAAACTGTGTTTTTGGTTGGTGTGTGTTGGTAATTTAAGTTCGGTGTGTAGGATGACCATGGTGCTCTATTTTTGGGTTGCTTGTAGGTGGTTTTGCTCTGTTTTGATGTTAGTTTAGGGGCAAAGTAAGAAAAAGATAAAGGTTAGTCTGGGTAGAAACCCTTAGCATGAAATGGAATATTATGTTGTCAATCAGGCCGCGATAGTTGTCAATGTATGCCGTGACAGTTGTCAACATAGCTCCTTGACTTGTCAATGACAGCTGCGTGATTCTTGATGTATGTTTAAATTACTGATGGTGAGTATGCCTGGAAAGCATCTATTGTGCTTTGTTCATATAGGAGGAAAGTTTATAAATGATGGAGAAGATGATATATGTGGGAGGTAGTGTAAGAACGACAACTATAAAGGAGGGAACAAGTTATGAAGAATTGAAGGAAATTATATCATCAATTGTTAGGAAAAAAAAGTAACTCATTTCTCTTGAAATTCTCAGTTGTGTTTGATAAAAAAATATTTATGGAGTTGGTAGATGATGATAGGGTAGAAAATTTGACAAAATTCAATGAAGAAAGTGGTCATGTATATATAGAAGAGAATGGAAATAAGGATCACATAGAAGCAACAAGGGATAATGTAATGGAGAAGCAAGATGTGTAAGTTTAGTTTAACAAAATTGTTATTATCAATATCAGTTGTTACTGTCTTGCTACCAACTTGTCAATGCATGCACCCTGACTTGTCATTTCTTGCAGGATTGATCAATCATTTAGAGGTATCAATGGATTGTCTATGTCTCTACCCACCTCATTTGATAAGATTGGAGAGCCACCATCAATTCTTTGTGCTGTTGAAATGATCCCAACACCTACACCACAAATGAATTCCACAAAATGGAAGGATTTGATTATTGGAGAAGGACAAATATTTCCAAATGCCACTGCCCTCCGAAAAACATTATACAGATATGAAGGGAATATTTTGTAAATGAGTGTGAAGGGAATTTTTTGTAAATGGATACCCACCAATAGTTAGTTTCGTAATTATATGCAACCCCTATTTTTTTTGGGATGGGTTGTGAAATAGGTGTAGTTTCATGTATATGAAGGTGTAGATGAAAGTTGGCTATGAATTGGCATGTTAGATTCTGCTATCATTTCAGTTGTTATTACCTGCACCCTGTATTGTCATTAGACCTGTTATGACTTGTCAATGGAGCATTGTAACTTGTCAATTAATTTGCTGATATAAGTTTAACACAATATAAATTCAAGTTATTTAACCTGTTTTAGTATCATATAATATTTTCAATCACTTTATTATATTATATTTTGATTATATTGTCATGTGTAATCATTATTAATGAAGTGTCAATGGTGACACTATGACTTGTCAATGGTCACATTGTGACTTGTTAATGATAGCACTATGACTTGTCAATGGTGGCACTATGACTTATCAATGGTGGCACACTGACTTGTCAATGGTAGCACTATGACTTGTTGTTCACTGAATAACTTCTTAAAAGGGTTGGGTGTCGTGGCGGATATGATCAAGGGCCGCGGCACCTTACACAGAATGACAATTCTTGGGACAAATGGGGGAGCCGTGGCGGATATGCCGCGATGAATTATCAGTTGTCAATAGTGACACACTGACTTGTCAATGGTGGCACTATGACTTGTCAATAGTGGCACTATGACTTGTCAATGGTGACACACTGATGTGTTAATGGTAACACTATGACTTATCAATGGTGACACTACAACTTATCAATAGTGGCACACTGACTTTTCAATGGTAGCACTGTGACTTGTTGTTCGCCGAATAACTTCTTAAAAGAGTTGGGTGCTGCAGTGGATATGATCAGGAGCCGCGACGCCTTACACAGAATGACAGCTCCTTGGGACAAATGGGGGAGCCGCGGCTGATATGGTCAGACGCTGCAGCGAATTATTAGTTTGTCAATAGTGACACACTGACTTGTCAATGGTGGCATAAGGACATGTCAATGGTGGCACTGTGACTTGCCAATGGAACACTGTGACTTGTTAATGAAGGCACTGTCCCTTATCAATTGAACATAAATTTGAGTAACACCTTCTTCTTAATAATTATATTTTAATGCAAATATTACTTAACATTATAAATAAATGACACTCTATTGTAAAAATTTTGAATATCAATTGTTAATATCCACACATTCATTTGTTATGAAATTGTTATATCACTTGTCATTAACTCCTGTTATATTAATTGTTATTTTGGATAACTCAGGTTGTTAATTTCTACACTGAGTGCTGTTGAGCTATACACAACTGAGAATTTGAAAAGAAATGAGTTACTTTCTTTTCCAGCAATTGATGATATAATTTTCTTCAATTCTTCATAACTTGTGCCCTCCTTTATATTTGTTGTTCTTACACTACCTCCTACACATCTTATATCATCTTCTCCATCATTTATAAACTTTTCCCCTATGTGAACAAAGCAAAATAGATGCTTTCCAGATGTACTCGCCATCAGTAATTTAAACCTGCATCAAGAATCACGCAACTGTCATTGATAAGTCAAGGAGCTACGTTGACAACTATCGTGGCACACATTGACAACTATCGCAGCCTGATTGACAACACAATATCCCATTTCATGCTAAGGGTTTCTACCTAGACTAACCTTCATATTTTTCTTCCTTTGCCCCTAAACCAACATCAGAACAGAGCAAAACCACCCACAAACAATCCAAAAACAGAGCATCCATGGTCATCTTACGCATCCATGGTCATCTTACACATCCAATTTAAATCACCAACACACACCAATTAAAAATAGTTTTTCCATTGATTTATTTGTTCATCTTAGACCAAAAACAAAAACTTTACAGTGCCAAAGGTAAAAATGATTTCTGATTTCTCATTCATAACACAATCAATCTATCAAGAAAAATATTCTAGGAGAGGAGAGGAGAGGAGAGGAGAGGAAATAAATTTCCAGACTGAAGATTTGTGAAGATTCAAATGGAACCTCTTTGGATTTCACTAATAGTAATGGGGAAGATGCTTTATTATCAATGGCTCCTTTCTTCTTTCTCTATATCCTCTCTTCCAGTTGTAACAGAGCCACACTATGCGGGAAGCTCACCTCAGCTCCTTTTGTCTCTCATATGCTAGGGCAAGGAAGTCATTTTAACTTTCTGAAAATGGCAGCCAAGTTCCTTTGGGACTTCAGAAGAATTATCACATTTCAGGGGACTTTTTTGCTGTATATTTGCTTGTGTGGGACCTTAATGTCATTTTCCCTTTAATATTCTAAGTACCTTTTGGTTAGCTCGGCTCAATTATTGCCAGCCTCGCCGTACTTGTGCGTATATATACATTACTTCCCTTGTTACGTTTTATAAGGTGGTTTTATGGAGTAATTTTATTTCTTATAAGTTTTTTTTCCAAAAAAAAAATGATAATATATAAATGAACCATATCTCAAAATATCCTTTATAATTTAACTAAGAGAGAAAGTGTGATCGAGGGGTCAGTTTTAAATGAGGGGTACTTAAAAGTTTTATAATAACAAGATCAGACAGTGGAGTTTGTATATTACTCCCATAATCCTATTTATAAGACACTTCCAGCATGTTTCACACAAATAAAGAAAAACATTAAACTTCATTAATTAACTCTCATTTAAAATTTAAAGATTTTTGAACTTTATCCCTATTTAATATATATTATACTTCATATAAACAAAATCAACACAATAATAAATGAGAGGTAAAATTGTACATCTATACAACAAATTTCTCTCAGTATCCTATAAATATGATTAAAAATTACCTTCTCTCTCTACTCTATAAATAGGACCAGAAGAGTATATGGAATTGCATACAAAATAGCTATAATGTTTATGACTCATATACAAACAATCTACTGGAAATTAAGGTTACTGTACCCTAATTATAATTTATTGTGATAAATGAAATAACAAACTTCTGCTTGTATTTAAGTAGCTAAGTCTTCTTTCTTAATGATAAGCATATACTACCTCCGGTCCTTAATATAAAACCCCGTTTGACTTTTAGTTTAGTCCTAATTATAAGACCCCAATCCATTTTGTCTTTCATATTTATGCATTTTTTTCCAAGATAGTTCTTCTAATAATGATAGTTCTAATCAACA